GGCTGGAGCGAGATAACGGCAGTGGGATAGCGGGATAGTGGGAGTGGCACACGAGAGAGAGAGAGAGAGAGAGAGAGAGAGAGAGAGAGAGAGAGAGAGAGAGTTCTCAAAGTGGGAGCAGGAGTATTTCAGAGATGGTGACGTGGCATTGAAGGAGCTGGAGATGGGGAATGAATGAAGCTGCCTAACATGGAGGCAAACTGCCCCACCAACGGGCCTGGGTATTGCGCAAAGTTGGCCACCCGGTATGGAGGGCAAACCGAGTAAAACAGGGTGCAGGCCCAGGCCACAACGAAGGGTCCAGATTGCAAATTTGTACATGGGCCTGACAGGGACAAAACGCAAAGACTTAGGCCCAAAAGGGCATTTCGCTCAACCCACATCTTTTACGGGCATTTTGGCATATATCTCAACTTATAGGGGTATTTCACAAATTATCCCAAAAAAAAGGTGCCTGACTGAACTGCAGTCACAAACTCTGCGGTGCGACTTTTCTGCAAAGTGGAGTTTCTATTGCATTGTAAACTTCGGACTGGACTGGAGTGCGAAACGGCAGTTTGAAATGCACTTACGAACTGTTGTTTTGACTGCGCCCTAGTTACCCTTTTTTTTTAAATAACGGCGGATGTGGCATGTTTTGAAACCCTAAAGGCAAAAAAACTCCCGCTGGCAAAGAAACCACGCGCCAACTGGAAATGAGCAATTTCGGTCTAAAAGTATCTGTTGAGCATTTTCTTTTTTTTCTTGTTTCCCTCTCTGACACCACGGTCGACCCCTGTAACTATGACATCTGGTCTGACACCACGGTCGTCAGTACTTCCATTGCCTTTTCGAACTCGGCACGGTTTTCTTTGTCGACGCTTGGTTTTTTTGCCCATTTGATACTCAAAGATGACATGAACGTACTTGCCTCTTTTTTCTTTATTTTTATTTTTTTTTTAAGAATTTCACATGTACAGACAGATAGGAGTGATGATGTAAGCATACACTCGTACATGCCTTATAGGAGCTCCAGTCTATTGTTGGAAAGCGGGTCCAGCGTCCCCTGGCGAACAATGTCAGATTGGACAAATAATATATGTTGGGAATCGGACCCAACGCCCCATAAGAGTTTGCAGATACCGCTACTGATGCTGTTGGGACTAAGATGATGATGATGATGATTATGACATTTGAGATGATGAACGAGTAGTGCCTCTTCACCCTATTTAGGGCACCAGAACCTCAAGATTTCCTAGCACAGGTTCATCTATAGATATTCCAAGTCCTCGCCAAATCAAGCAGTACATGGTCATTCAATCATACCCATACCATGATCTAGGTACTATACAAAGACTAGAAGCAGGGAAAAGATATGGGAAGTCCACAATTGGCCTTAAGGGGATTGAGGGGTCAGCATCAGCCCACTCATTGAAGACCAATCAATAGTTCCTTCAATGTTCTTTTTGGTCCTCCTCTTGTCTCTAATCCCACTGCACCTTTCCCAATTTTCCACCCTCGTTCCGCCCAAGCCAGCAGCAGTTGAAAGATTGAATTTGTTAACAAATTTATGTTCTTGATGCAAGATGTTGTATTTTCCCCTTGGTTTTGTCCCATTTAAGTGAATTTTTTGTTTACATATGTTGTTTAATGGTATCTGTAAATTCTGGACCATCCAAGCGTGCCTTTTCCATTTCATAGGTACACCATACACCTCCTCATCCATATTGCCCATTGGACTGCTCTTCTTATTATTATGAACCAATTTAGAGTAAAATCATCCACCTGACTCGGGTTCCATGTTTCCAGGAGAAGCTTTTTGCAATCCCAAGGCCAAGGAAGAGTGCAAACCGACTAACTCCAGATCCTATCCCACCAGCGCCACAACCACACTGCCCTGGACATTGTTAGAAGATATGCTTAATGGTTTCAAGGGTGAGTCTTGTCAGGAAGGTTGTTTTACAGAATTTACACTCAGGGGAGGCCATACCTCTTCGTTCAATTGATGTTTTATCAATCATCCAATCATTAGTTGGGAGGCATCTGGGAACTATTTGCCACTGTAAGTATGCCACTTTGCCTGGTCTGGGCTTAATAGTTTATCGATCTTAATGCTTCTCTACCTATGATGAGTTGTTTCATCCACCTCTTTCTACTTTGTCCTTAATATTGATTCTCGGTCAAAACATTTTGTAGGTATACTTAATTGTCAACATGTGAAGAAATTTGGTATAAGTTTATAAGAATGTTTTTCCTTGAACCAGACCACCTCCAAGTGGCAAGGTTTATTGGCAGATCCGTAATAGGTGTATTTAGTTTTAAGGCCCTCCATATTTCATAACTCTCAACACCTTTATTCTAAAGACTTGGTTCAACTTAAGTTACCTGGTAGTAAGCTGATACATTAATGTTTCCTAAGTGTAACCATGCCCTCCATCCCCAAATGAAAGATGTCCACTATAATGGTTTCCTCATCTACAACATGTATAATATTTCTCACTATCTCATGTTGATCTCTGATTGTCACCCAATCACTAGTCCAAGAGTGCGATTAGATTCATTCATAAGGATACGGGTCCACTCCAAAAGGATTATATCAATTATTACTTACAATGGCTCATAAGGATACGGGTCCACTCCTGAGGGATAACATCAATTATCATTCTCAATCCCTCATTTTGATGATGGCAATAGCGAACTCTTTATCGTAATTGCACTGGGTAATCAAGTCTCGAGTATTCTGATTCATATATCATTGATGCGTACAGGTAAGAAGAAGTCGATACAGGTAAAAAGAAGAGGAAAAGGTTCAACGTTTGCCCGAAAGAGGGGAGAGGAGAGGTGGATGGAGATAAGTTTCGAAGCAATTGAGGCAATGGTAAATTTCGAGCTGAATCATACGTGTGTTGTCGCAGCGGAAAAATTGATTCAACAACGGGTGGGTATACCAATGGGGAAAAGCAGTAGTCCACCATTGGCTTGCATCCTTTTCGCCATGAATGGGTTTTATTTTTTGCAAAATTTGGGCGCTGATCGGAACCTTATGAGAGGTGTTCGACTGATGGATGATGTTACCATTTTTGTTTGGTGCCCGGCGAGAAATGGGAATAAGAGAAAAGCAAAGGTTATAGACTCGTTAGAAAGACCATATGATGAGCAACTAACACTGAAGAGAACGGACGATGGACAGGGCACATGGGATTTTTTGGGAACACAGATGATGGTGAAAAGGGATAATGAAGTGACGTGTCAAAGCTATGCTAAAAACATGGACGAGGTATGGAGGGAGGGGAGACTTACCTTCCGGACAATGCAGGATTTCGAGTCCTATTCATCAATCAGGGAGAAGAAGGCGGTTATTACAAGCGCTTTGTTCAGGATACGACAGATGTCATCTAACGATGAGCTGGTAGGGTTGGGCCTGCTCACGATGAAGCGACAACTCAGACTGCAGGATTATCCGGGGAGATTGTTTAATGACTGTTTGATGAAATTCATCAAGAGTAAAGCCTCCTCGTGAGAACTATGGGGACGAAGATTAGGGGGCTGGTAGGAAATAATGGAGTCGAGGGGAAGGTTTTGGTGATGAAAAAGGAAGAGGCCCTCGATGAACGATGGGACTTTAACTCGGTCAATTGGAAAATACAGGGACGAGACAAAAATAGGACCTGTTTTTTTTCACCCAAGAGCCTAGCTCACTTGGTACACCCATGAACTGTTGAAATACAGACCTGTGTTCGAATCCAAATGATGGAACTTGACGAGTAAAACCGACTACTAATGAATTGCTTGGGGCCGGGCAGCTCAATGATAATATCTCAAGACCGTCGCCCTTTGATAAAAAAAAAAAAAAAAAAAACCTGGGTTTTCTCGAAAAACACCAGGATAAGAAAAGGACCGTAAGGAATTTGAGCTGGACTACCGGGAAGGTTTTTCGAACTTCCGGAAGGTTCCAACAATTGGAACCAGCACCTGTGAAAGTAAACGATGTCAGAGGGGTGTTAGTCTACGGAGGATATTACTGGGTACCAGACCCAGAAAAGACGGAAGGGAAATCGGAGGAAAGACTCTTACGAATAGGTACTTATAGGATAGCTTAATTGTCACTTAGCATCTTGATTCCCCCTGATGAGGTCGTAGCTGGCGACGGCCGAAACTAATAGGGGACAACCAGTCATCGCCATCTTCCGGAGTTTTATAGTGATCACACGGCGAAGGTGGGATGAGGGTCATAACTTAGCTATGAGAGGTCGGGATCTGAATGTTTATCGTTCGCGACTAAATCAAGATTCTTTTTCACATATGGTGCTATTCGTGCATAACGTGCATGTGTGGTTATGTGTTTGCTGCGATTGAGTCAGTCGCAACGCTGACTTCGCTTACATTTACATCGGACCGACAGTGGCAACCATCCTGGAGGCGTACACCAGGACTTCGGTGGCTCTGTAGTGGAGACTGTAGTAAGTGATTCGGAACTATTAAAGCGAAGAGAAGTAGGAGCAGGAAAACGGAGAGAAAGAGTGAGAGTAAGGAGAGCTCTTTCGGGAACGTTGAGAGGAGAGAGAGAAAAAAATGAGTTTGAATGGAAACGGAGGAGGGCAGTGGAATAATCAAGGGAATGGAGGTAATGGCGATAATGGAGGGAATTGGGGAGCAGGCAACGGTAATGGAAATGGAGGACCGAACGGAGGGAACGGAGGAGAGAACGGGAACAATGGTGGGTGGAATAACGGAGGCAATGGAGGTAACAGAGGGTGGAACGGAGCCAATGGTAACAACGACAATGGAGGATGGAACGGCAGTAACGGTGGAAACGGAGGAGGGAATGGAAACAACGGTGACAATGGAGGTTGGTACGGAAACAATGGGGGAAACAGAGGAGGGAACGAAAATAACGGAGGGAACGGGGGATGGAACGGTAACGGCAACAATGGAGGAAATCAAGGGAACAACAGCAGGGATTGGAAGCGATCAGCACAGTGTTACAACTGTGGGCAGTACGGACACATCAGCAGAGAGTGCAATGCTCCACGACAAGGGAATTACAATCAGGGAAACAACAACAACAATGGCTCAGGCAACTCAAACCATGGAGGAGGGCGGGGGTTAAACGATGGAGCAAGCAACTCGAACCAATCAACGGCGGGGATCGGCCTCGGCAAAGAGCTAGAGGAAGGAATACGGAAGATGTGCATGTACACGAACTTGCAGCCGGAGAAGAAAGAGAAGAAGGAGGCAGAGAAAAAGGCCGAGGAAGAGAAGAAAATACGGGACGAGGAAGAGAGAGTGATAAGGGAGGAGCAGAATCGACTGGAAATTCAGCGAAAGAAAGCAAAAGAGGAGAAAGAGGCGGACAGGGAGTGGAAGCTGGAGATGTTGCTAGCAAGACAGAAGGAGTCATTGAGAGAAGAATTCGAACGGATGTTTGAAGCACGATTGAAAAAAATGGTAGTAACTGAGAGAACGGTGAAGGGTAAGGCAAAAGCAGTGGAATCGGAGTCAGAGGAGGAGCAGGAGGAATTGGAGGAAAGACTTGAGAAACGGAAAAGACAACCGGCTCAAGCATGTCAGGTGAGCCCGCAAGGAGAAACGTCGTCAAAAGTTGGAAGAGCGACTACGTCGACACCAAGAGCTGTCGCGGAACGGGAGTTTCCTAGGTTGAGAGTGTCAGTGCACCAGACGACCGAAAATGAAGGCATTGGCTTCCCTCTAAGGGAATCGGCCCTATGAGAAGGAGCACCTACTGCGGACGAGTACCTCACGACGACGGCTTTTCGAAAGGCCGTACGGAGATTTCTCGGGAAGAAGTTGAAACCGACCATCGAAGCCATGTGTTGAGAGGTTGGCGTTGCGTATAGGGGAAGACCCGAAGCAATGGGCGATTTGGTAGAACTGCGCGTCATGTATTTTAGCGCAGAAGCTCTACAGGTTACCCCACCCAGACCAAGAGGAGGGATCGTCATCCGAGAAGCAACGAAAGTTACACCACCTAGCCCAAGGGGAATGACTATCAGGGAAGTGTCGGTCAATACAACCAAGGAAGCATCTGCAGAGGGTGGCGTTGTCGGGACGAGTAATCGGACCAGTAACCCTCCATACCAGTGAGCTATGGCGGGATCTGGGTGAGTACCTTAACTTACGTCGACTATTTATGTCGGACTTCGCTATAGGAGGACGCAAGTTACGTGAGCTAACGGAGCAGGTATTGAGATTGCTAGTAGTATGGCTAGTATTAAGGGGGGAGATGCAATGGGGAAATAAATTCCTAGGGAACTGGTTGGATTTGATCGAGAGAAACGTGGATGCATGGGAGAAGGCGGAAGGTGTGTTTACGTCCTAATCGACCCAGGAACTAGGAAATGCTATATTGGTCAGACAAATAGAAGCTTATGTATTAGATGGGAGGAGCATGTATATAGATCGAGGCAGAGGGAAGGGAATAAGAATTCGCGTTTGTACTCGTGGTTTAGACAATGGGGCCCGACGAACTATGTAGCACTACCGATCGCGTTCGTACCTATTGAAGATTTGGAGAGGACAAATAAAAACATTCATCAGGAAATGGTCGCCAGCAGTGAATGCAAAAGGGATTAGGAAGTCGGGATTTAAGAAGAATCGTAGAGAGAGAAAGGGAGGGGAAAGTTGGGAGATCACACATGATCCGGAATGAACGGCCGATTGTATTCAAGATAAAAGAGTCGCGGAGTGTTCGCCTGGATATGGTGTGTAAGAAAGCATGGGTCGAAGGGAAGAAGTTTAGTTCAGAAGGAGGACGAGTATGGGGTCAGAAATGGGATATTGTGTGTCGGAAAATTGATAATAGTTTGATAAAAGTGGGGAATAGGGGAGGACTAATAAAGGATTTCAAGGGGTCTTTGGAGGAGGGCGGGGATTTCAAGTTAGTGAAGCTACGGCAAAAGGTATTGTCGAAGAGAAAGCAGGAACTGAAACATGAACTGCACCAACTTATCCGGAATCCGTGGAGTAAGAAGAAACTCTATAAATCAGATCTGGATAAATTGGTGCAGTTAACTTCAGCGATAAAGTGTTTCTCTAGAGCTGAAACTCGGGTGAACCTCAGGGATGTGTTGTCAAGAGTGATATGGAGAAAATTTGGGTTCAATTTGAAGAAACAATTATGTGTGAGTGTGACCTACGATCGAGATGTGTCCTTGCATGCGGTAAAAGAATTGGTGAGTGGTAAGATCCGGGAATCCCTTCCGGGACCCTTAGCTACATTGACATGTCAGAGATTACTAACCACATGGCGGAAGAACCGCTCGGTTGGTGAATCTCTCCATAACCACCGTGCTGCTTCACAGCAACGGGTGGGTGTCTGCACATGTGCTAACAGTTGCCTTCCCAGATTGAAAGGTCGTGTACACTGTAAGCTAAGTGAACTGGAAGGAAAGAGTGACTTCGTGAAAAATGTGAGAAATATTATCTGTGAAAAGGGAGTACGAAGGGAAGGAAGGATACTGAGGCAGATTAATGATAGTCTAGCTAAGATGAGAATAAATGCATGCGTCGAGGCTAAGGACGTCAGAGGTTGCATAAAGGAGAATGCAGGGAGGGAAAGGAAAGACTGTTCAGGGGATTTGGACGAGATAAGGACTTTAACGAAGGATCTGGTTTGCACAGCAGTGGACAGAAACACGGCCAAAACGGTTATCATGTGTCCGAAAGTGTATGCAATCGGAATGCAGACTTTATTCTGGAAGAACAAGAGTTTTGATGTGGTATGGGAAACAGGGGCGGA